CAGAAACAGAAACAGCAGCAATAGCGCCAACCACAACAATAGCAGCAGCAGTGACAACATCACAGACAAAAGCACAACCACCACCATCACCACAACGACACCAAGAACAACCACATGGACAGCAGTCATTCTCAACATCATCATCGGCAACATAATCATCAACCCCATCACCATCATCATCATCATCATCATCATCATAACCATCACCATCATTATCATTTCTGTCCTCATCATCATCATCATCATCATCGTCACCAGTATCATCATCATCATCATCATCACCATCATCATCATCACAATCATCACCATTATCATCATCAACATCACCATCATCACCATCATGGTGGTCGTCCTGATCATCATCATAATCATCATCAATGCATCATCATTGCATCATCAATGCATCATCATTGCATCATCAATGCATCATCAATGCATCATCACCCTTACCAAAATATTATCATCATCCTTCTCATCATCATCATCATCAACATCATCATCATCATTTTCATCTTCATCCTTCTCATCACCATCATAATCATCATCATCGTCATCATATCCATCAGCATTGTCATTATCATCATCATCTTCTTCATCATCATCACCATCATTACCATTTTTCATTATCATGGCCATCATATTCATCATTATCTTCATCATCATCATCATCACCATCTTCATCTTAAGCAGCAAAAGCATCATCAACCCCATCATCATCAGCGTCGTCATCCTCCTCCTCCTCCTCACCATCATCCTTATCATCATCCTTATCATCATCGCTCTTCTCATCAGCATCAGGTTAAAAATATTCATCATCATCTTTCATCATCATCATCATCATCATCATCCTCCTTCTCATCACCATCATTTACATCAGCACCATGTTCATCATCATTATCACCTTCATCATTTCCATCATCTTTATCGTAGTCATCGTAGTCATCATCATCATCTTTATTACCATGTCCTTCATCTTCTTCATCTTCGTCATCATGACCATCACCATCACCATCAGCAACAACACCAGCATCATCATCATCATCATCATCGTCTTCTTCTTCAACATCATCAACATCATCATCATCATCATCATCTTCATCAGCATCACCATCATCATCACCACCACCGTCGTCATCATCATCATCATCATAATCATATTCTTCTTCTTTTCTGATTCTTCAACACCAGCAAGAACGACAACAAACCCCATATCATGTAAGGAACAATTCCTGCTAGATTTTCCTGATTTCCTCATCCTTTAGAGCTGAGGAAGATTGCCTGACAGCCTTGTGTCTCAGCCACTTTTGAGTCCTCAAGATTCTACAACCAGTAGGGAGGCGACAGATCTGATCTATGACAACGACCGACCACCTTTGCCTAGGAAGCGAACATACTTGTCTGTATGCGCCGATCCATGTGCCAAAAGAGAGCACCCAGGACAATTCAAACATGCCCGCAAGTCTCAGAGGTAAAGATGAAAGACTTCGTGCCGGATCCACTTGGAAAAGAGCTCTGTCAAGCAACTTGCTATTTGTTGCAATTTCTTTGATTGTTTTGAAGTTTTATTGAAATTGATTTGAAACCCTAGCCATCTCTACCACAGGCCTTCCACAGCCAGTTGTCCATCTGGTCCATCTCATTCCATTGCCCAGTCCTGGCTATTGCAGGCTACGGCAAGCTTGCGCTATGGCAGCCCCACAGCGAGTGTTCAGCTTAAGGGATATCTTGTTTCATGGCAGATTTAGAGCTGACATCAAGTGAAGTAATCCAAATTATTCGGAATGGCTATAGTTGATCATGGCATATCACGGCTATTGTTGGTCAAACATATAGCATGTATGATCCCAGCTGACTACAATTCCAAGGCCGATGCTTTCCATCACTTCTTGAACAACTACCATTGACAGGCCGGGGTTCTTTACACAGCATTCCACTGGAAAGTTGAGTGGCAAATCAATCACTTTCAGTGTTCAAATCAAACTCAATAATATGTTCTTTCCTCCAGGCATCCTACCTACATGTGGCTTGCCGAGACGATATGGCCCAGAAAAAAAGTTGTGCCCACATGACTTTCAAATCGTTTTTTTGATTCTTTAGTTTGGAGAAGAGATCTAATTGTGAAGAAAGAATGGTCTCCACTTCCAATCTGATCCCAGCTGCCTTCGAAAGTTCCAAGCTGCTCCGCTGCTGGCTCAAGGATCCAGTAAGCTAATCCTGGCAGTGTTGGATTTGAACCCAGGTGAGATATGACTGTGTCGTCTATAGAGCGCCTTCTTGCCTCTCATGGTTTCGGGCAGGACTGCCCAATCATATTTAAAAAGAAGATGTTCAGAAATACAACTTGGACATGTTTCGAAACCATGCCCTCCTATGTAATTAAGACTCATAGATACCTGTCCATATTTGTCCTTATATTCCATCCCCTTCTTTTCCATCCCCTGCTAGTGTTTGGAACTTGCAGGACTATGAGGCCATGGTCGATGCCAGCCCTGCTGCCGCTGAAACTCCATCGCCCAGAGCTCTTGTCCCAGGAATTTGTGTTTCACAATTTTGGCATATCAGTTGGACAATTGACATATTTTTATATAAACTGGGGTTCGTCACTTCCTGCCAGGTCCCTGCTTTGAGGAGCCCACAGCTATCAGCCCAGAAGGAGGAAAGCAAGGCCAATTTACCTTGGTCACTGTCCATGCTGAATCAGCCGGAAACCAATCCAATCGCCAAGAAAATCAATGTTCCAGTTACTTTCAAAGGTTAAACCTATCAGCATCTTTCCGTTTACATCCGTTCTGTTTGCATCTTGCTGCAGGATCGAAGGTCAGCACTAGCTGAAGAACACGTCGCACCAAAGAGTCTCCGTGTCCAGTTTGCTGAGTCTGCTACGACTATAGCAGCCGAGCCAGCACATAGTGAGACTACAGAGTCAGTGCTCAAGACTGTTGAATCTTCAGCTCCAGCCCCGGAACCCAGTGAGAAAAGTGATGAAGGTGTGAAGGCCCCAAAGAATGGAAAAACGGAGCTTGCAATCGTCATGCCAGCCCAGGGGGAAGCCGGGCCACCACCTAGCACGCTGATGCCGATGACTGTTGCAAGCACCAATGCCAACAACGACCCAGATATGAGCAAACAAAAGAGGGAAGATCTTAGCAAGCGGCTTGAGGCTGCAAAGCAGAAAGCCAAGCCCGAAAGGAAGAACGCAGCCAAGGGAAAGGCAAAGGCAAAGGCCAAAATGGCCACCAAGAGCAAAGCAAAAAAACCAGTCGAAGAGGAGGACGATGAGAACCCATTGGAGCCTGAATCCAATGTGTCGGAGGAAGAAAGCAATGGAAAGTCAGCTGACGAACAGGCCGGCTTTGTTCCTTTGCCTTCTAACCCCTGAACAAAATATATCTTATGTCTGTGGTTCCGTCTTGAAAGATTCCACTCATATCTTCCTATCCCCCGCCCTGTGCAGGTGGAGGATGTGACAACCCAAGAGAAGAACCCTCCTGCTCCTGCTGAAGCAGTTCCGCCCACTGCAGCAGTTCCGCCCGTTGCACCACAGTCGTTATTGGCTCATGCCGTCCAGAAAGCAGTTCATGGAAAAAACAATGCAAACGCATCCCCAGAAAACACAGCCAAAGCCAAGCCAGATGTAAAGAAAAGGGGTCGAGAACCTAAGGCAAAGCAGCCTACCAGCAAGAAAGCCAAGAAGGAAGCAGAGGAAGATCAGCAGGAGGAAGCTGACGACAGCAACACAGTGCCTGCCAAGCCTGCTGTGGCTCGTCCCAAGCGCAAGCCACCAGCCGCAAAGCAGACAAAGGAGCAGAAGCCAAGTAAGGGATCCAAGGGTTCAAAAGCTGACAAGAGTGAGGAAAGCCCCAAAGGGGAGGAAGAGATCCACACCGAGAAAGAACCGTCGAAGACGGATGATAGTCAGGAAGCTGCTGAGATTAGCAAAGAGACCAAGCAGGAAAAGAACACCAAGAAGGGTAAGGCCAAAAAGGCTGAGAAAGCAAAGGATGACCAAGAAGAGGAGAAGAAGGCTTGGAACATGTTGCTTCCTTTCTTCTCTCTTGCAATTTATTTGTTTCAAGAAAACATTCCACTGCCAGGAGCCAAAGAAGAGCGGGGCTCTTGGACGTGTGGGGATGAGGGATGTGTATTGGAAGCACATCGCGGAGTCCAAAAAAAGGTTGACGGATGAAAATCCCACCAAGAGCAAGTATGAGATCTTGGGTATGGCCCGGGCCGAGTCCGGCACTGAGATTCAACATCAAAGGATTTCATTAGTCATGAGAACCGTCATCATTATTTGTTAGAGGATTTGACTCGTTGAAGTCCAACTTTTCCACCAATGGTGCATTTGCTAGCAACAATTTCTAATTGTCAACCCCGTGAACTGCAGGTGGCAGACCCACCCGGAGCGTGTGAACAACATGAAGAATTTGCCACCTTCGGAGCTGTCCCGCCGACGTTTGGTTCCGTCCAAGCGACAGCGCAAGGTGCCCAAAGATGAAGAAATTGCCGAGGACGCCGAGGGTCCTGCCGACGAAGGACATATCGCTTCTGATGCTCTCAATGACTTCCCCCCCAAGAAAGTGGATGATGACGTCACTGATGGTGAACCTGCTGAGTCTGAGTGACTTCTAAGTTTTTGAGAAATGGGTAATGGGTCCACAGTGATCCTATAATCTTGGGTGTCGCAACCTTTGATGTCCAACAGAATGTTTTCAAATTTCCATCAAAATAAGCTATATAAAGGCACGAGCTTGCTGTTTCAGGGCAGGTTGCGGATGGCAATGGCGCTGACTTTGGGAAGCGCTACCAAATCTCACTTTAGATCTTACGGTATTTACCAGGGAAATCCTTGAGGAAAGCTTCACCACTTGACACACCAGTGGTTCGCTCAAGAAAGGGGAAAAAACAAACTTGCAGCTTCACTGCGCTGTTCCATTCTTTTCTGAGAACCCCTATTGTTTGATAAGAAGTGCAAGAAGTGTTGTAAACCACGGGTCCGCATGGCAGGTGAGATGTCCCGGATTTGGCCTGTGGCATGGACCACGGACCAGCAGGAAGTTGTCCTCGAAGTTCCTGACGAATCGGGGAAAGGGAGCACGGACAGTGAGAAGACCACACTCCGACAACTTCTACAGGAACTTGAGGATGCTGGGATCACGGATACAACGTTGAACTCCCATGACATGCATGCCCCGCATGCTGCTGAAGTTGGCCAAGGTAAGGGGCCCAACAATCCATTGGATGTTTAATCTCTTAATCAATGGTGTCAGTAACTGAACATTTCTCAGTGGCATGAGTGTATGGCTCTCTCCCCTATTTAGGTCCTCAGCCATACCTTGTCAAACCAAAGCCGACCATGATGTATTTCGGCTTCACAGAGTGCACCAGCAACTACAAGTACACGAATGCAGCTTCCATCTTCACAGCCGCCGCCCCTCGGACGGTCCTCAATTGTGCACCTGCTAATTGAAGACCGTGTGGTCTATCCATGGCTCAATCGAAAGTGGGTCACAGTAGTTTTTTTTGTGGAAATGTGACTAAGGAACTTGATGCCTCCAAATCCCTCTTGAAGGCTTGGCGTGTGATCTACACCAAAGAGAGCAATGTCGCTTGGAGGTACATTATCCAGGATTCTGATTTGAAAAAATGTTGCAATATTTCTGTTGCAATAACACTGACTATTTGTTATCAGTGGTGTGCCGCCATTGGCTAAGGAAATCTCGCCTCGTTGCTCGGTATCAAATAAGAATGACCCATTCAATACTGTATCATTCAAAGATGGATTGAATGGCATTTCAAATTCCAACTATATTTGAAGGATTTTGTACTCTTAGGCAAACCGCTCTACTTCTTCAAAGATGACTTGGAGATGGATGCAGGGCATGTTGTCAGATTGGTCTGAGCGCCAAATCAAATTTTGAATGGCCACCGTTTGCAATTTTGAACCATAATAGTGTTAAAAAAAAAAAGTATTTTCCCATAAATGTTGTATCAATGAAACTGAAACTTCGAGCGACAAGCACAGGTGACCAGGACCTAGCGCTGGGATGACATGAAATCATCTTGGGAAAACGGGCGGCCGCGAGCGAACTCTTGCAGTCTTGACCCCTGCAACATCATATATTTCATACACCTCGCTTACTCATTGACTCTCGAATAGGAAGAAATTACTCTTGATTGTAGTGAAATCCCCTTATATGTATATATACCTAGAGACTCCTGGAGTCTTTTGCTTGGTCCTTTTTGAAAAGGACGTTTTTTTGTCTTTGCTGCAGAAAGGTGCTGGTTCTCGCCGCAGTGTTTTTTTCGAAGTTGCTGCATAGTTGTGTTTTCGCAGCGCTGTCCATGGATTTTTGTTGCGACGGGTCTGCGCTAACGCTGTCTGTCAGCTCCTCTGTGCTCTCAGAACTCTTGGGAAAGTGCCTTGGTTGCGACGGGTACCCACGCAATACACAAGATATGAATGCCATGGTCATAACTTTTGCACACCATGCTTGTGTGCTGCGTACTCATACAAGTCTGTGTGTTGTTTGATCCTTGGCTTTTACCTGTTTGGATCTACCTTCTTCGATTTAGGATTCTTGCTTTGGTGAACCACACCTGTGTCTGGAAAGTACTCGTAACTTCTTATGCTAGGTTTGGCCACAGATAGGGTGCTTTCTGTTTCTTTCGCTCTCGCCATCAAGGGTTGTGGTTGAGGAGGCATGTCATTGGTTTATGGTTTTGTCTTCATTGTGTTTGCCGTTGCGTTCACACGCTTCGTCCTGCTGAGGCGCATTCTTCCTGATTCATCTCGTGGACGGTGCCTGGTTTCCGACGGGTTTGCAATTGACATGTATTCACTTGTTCGTGTCTCTTTTGGTAGACCTGTAGGTCTTGCTGCAAATGGGTGAAGCTGTTCTGTCAGATGTCGCCCTCAAAGAAATGGGTTCCATTAAACATACCGTCGCGGTCTTGTTGCGCTATTTTTTTTTGGACCTGGTGTGATCACGATTCAGACCCCGGACCCGAGAACCCACTCCAGCTTCATCTCTATTAACTGTATTCGGTCTCTCCTTCTCACACGTCTTGTTTGTGGGACTTAACTGTGATCTTTCCCATTTCCAAGCATGTCGCTCTGCGAGGCCATTGCCGCAGGATGACTGCAAGAAGGGGACGACATCGCGAAGCCTTGTTTCAAAAGGGTGCTTTGGATTGTGTGTGAGATCAGAAGTAACGGTTTCATGTGTACCTGATTGTTGTCAATATTTTCGTTCTGGAAGATAGTCTTCTGATTTCTTTTTTGGCTTTTCTCAGTTTATGTGGCCTGTTGCCATGACCGGAAACGTTGGACTTATTTCTCCACCTGCCAGGTGAGGGTTACTAGATTTTACCATGGCTGCGCGGGGGGGACGGAGGGGGGGTGGAAAACCTCCCGCTGCCTCCCATCTGCCAGCTCAAGATCCCAGTGGGCACTGCCAGACCTCAACGGCGAGCTCCCGATCCCAGTGAGAAACGCCGGGCTCAACCGCGAGCTCCTGATCCCAATGGGCAACGCCGGACCTCAATAGCGAGGTCCGGATCCCAGTGGGCACTGCCGGACCTCAACGGCGAGCTCCAGATCCCAGTGGGCAACGCCGGACCACAACGGCGAGCTCCAGATCCCAGTGGGCAACGCCGGACCTCAACCGCGAGCTCCAGATCCCAGTGGGCACTGCCGGACCTCAACAGCGAGCTCCCGATCCCAGTCAACAACGCCGGACCTCAACCGCGAGCTCTCGATCTCAGTGGGCACTACCCGGCCTGAACGGCGAGCTCCACATCCCAGTCGGCACTGCCGGATCTCAAGGCCAGATAGAATGTCAGATAGAATGTCAGATAGAATGCAAGATAGAATGCAAGATAGAATGCCAGATAGAATGCCAGAAAGAATGCCAGAAAGAATGCCAGATAGAATTCCAAATAGAATGTCAGATAGAATGCCAGATAGATTTCCAGATAGAATACCAGATAGTATGCCAGAAAGAATGCCAGATAGAATGCCAGATAGAATGTCAGATAGAATGCCAGAAAGAATGCCAGATAGAATGGCAGAAAGAATGTCAGAAAGAATGCCAGATAGAATGCCAGACTGCATGCCAGATAGAATGCCAGATAGAATGCCAGATAGAATGTCAGATAGAATGCCAGAAAGAACGCCAGATAGAATGCCAGAAAGCATGTCAGATAGAATGTCAGAACATATGTCAGATAGAATGGCAGAGCATATGTCAGAGAAAATGCCAGATAGAATGCCAAGAGGAAGAGGAGGAGAGGGCAACTCTCATGAAATCTAGAGACCGAAGGTCTCTAGATTTCATCAGAGTTGTCCTCTCCTCCTCTTCCCTGCCAGAAAGTTTTGCCAGAAAGAATGTCAAAATCTGTATGACATTCATGGTGGGGATCACTCGAAGAAAGGTCACCAATGATGAATCTTCGATTTAGGATTCTTGCTTTGGTGAACCACACCTGTGTCTGGAAAGTACTCGTAACTTCTTATGCTAGGTTTGGCCACAGATAGGGTGCTTTCTGTTTCTTTCGCTCTCGCCATCAAGGGTTGTGGTTGAGGAGGCATGTCATTGGTTTATGGTTTTGTCTTCATTGTGTTTGCCGTTGCATTCACACGCTTCGTCCTGCTGAGGCGCATTCTTCCTGATTCATCTCGTGGACGGTGCCTGGTTTCCGACGGGTTTGCAATTGACATGTATTCACTTGTTCGTGTCTCTTTTGGTAGACCTGTAGGTCTTGCTGCAAATGGGTGAAGCTGTTCTGTCAGATGTCGCCCTCAAAGAAATGGGTTCCATTAAACATACCGTCGCGGTCTTGTTGCGCTATTTTTTTTTGGACCTGGTGTGATCACGATTCAGACCCCGGACCCGAGAACCCACTCCAGCTTCATCTCTATTAACTGTATTCGGTCTCTCCTTCTCACACGTCTTGTTTGTGGGACTTAACTGTGATCTTTCCCATTTCCAAGCATATCGCTCTGCGAGGCCATTGCCGCAGGATGACTGCAAGAAGGGGACGACATCGCGAAGCCTTGTTTCAAAAGGGTGCTTTGGATTGTGTGTGAGATCAGAAGTAACGGTTTCATGTGTACCTGATTGTTGTCAATATTTTCGTTCTGGAAGATAGTCTTCTGATTTCTTTTTTGGCTTTTCTCAGTTTATGTGGCCTGTTGCCATGACCGGAAACGTTGGACTTATTTCTCCACCTGCCAGGTGAGGGTTACTAGATTTTACCATGGCTGCGCGGGGGGGACGGAGGGGGGTGGGCACTGCCGGACCTCAACGGCGAGCTCCAGATCCCAGTGGGCAACGCCGGACCACAACGGCGAGCTCCAGATCCCAGTGGGCAACGCCGGACCTCAACCGCGAGCTCCAGATCCCAGTGGGCACTGCCGGACCTCAACAGCGAGCTCCCGATCCCAGTCAACAACGCCGGACCTCAACCGCGAGCTCTCGATCTCAGTGGGCACTACCCGGCCTGAACGGCGAGCTCCACATCCCAGTCGGCACTGCCGGATCTCAAGGCCAGATAGAATGTCAGATAGAATGTCAGATAGAATGCAAGATAGAATGCAAGATAGAATGCCAGATAGAATGCCAGAAAGAATGCCAGAAAGAATGCCAGATAGAATTCCAAATAGAATGTCAGATAGAATGCCAGATAGATTTCCAGATAGAATACCAGATAGTATGCCAGAAAGAATGCCAGATAGAATGCCAGATAGAATGTCAGATAGAATGCCAGAAAGAATGCCAGATCCTGATGCGTGTCTTTCTTTCTTGCTTTCTTTCTTTCTTTCAATAAAAACCATAGATTTTTTTTCTAGCGTTCATTGCGTTAATTGAATTGGTTGCGACTCGGCGTTCCCAGCATGGGCTGCGCATAATCTTGCTGTCTGCCTTTCTGTCTGTCACTTATCTTTTCCTTGCTTTCCTTGTTTGATGCAGGTTTAACAATCGCTATGACAAGGCGTGGAATCAGAAGCTCGGTCGAAACTTCACGACCCCCATCCCACAGTTCAGCACGGACGGATGTGTGATTTACTGATGCTGTTCCATCTTAACACAATCTTTACAGATTTTCTCGTTGGCACAACCTTTGAATGTTTGCCCGCTTGAAGTGACATGTCTTGATGGACTTTGCTTTCTCATCTTTTCCTGGTGCTGCATTGCCCTGTGTTTCTCGCTCCTCCACTGTTTCTATCCCTCTCTCTTTCTCTGTTACTTTCCGTTTCCTTCTATGTCTCCCTTTCCCGAGGTTGGATCGCAATCGCGTCAAGAAATCCGTTAAGTGCAGGGATTTCTCCAGAGGAGACTGCCGAAGAGGAAGTCGCTGCCGCTTTGTGCACGCGACGGCAAAGGACATTGGGTTCATGGATGAAATTTGCTTTTCGACAATGAAGCACAGCTACTACACTGATTTGTATGACCCCCGAAGAAGTCGAGAGGACGCTTCAAGGAGAAAGTTGTGGACGACCAGGTTTGGGGAATCCAAGCCACATTTCTCAAGTAAGGATCTACATTCTGCTGCTTTGCCTTTGAAACTTGAAAACGCAAAAGCATTAGATAGATTTCCATTCCTTTGAATCAACCTTCACTTTCCTTTCTTTTTAGTTTCGAGAAAATCTAAGAAGACATACGGATATATATATATATTAATATCGCTTTCGTTCTTACTTCTTTTCCTTAATAATAATTAGGAAGAGATGCTTTCATTTCCCTTTGCTTTCACTTTGGTTTCTTGTCCTGCCTTTTAGCTTGTGGCAGTGAAACCAAGCACATTGCTCCAGGAAGATCCTCGCTCTCTTGAGCAGCCCGCATTGGATCGCCGCACGTCACTCGCAAAATTTGGGACATGTCGGAAGCATGGACAGTA